ATCTTCCTCACGAACATTTCAGTCTGGTGCGTGATGGTACTCCATTTTGTTTGACGGTCAGTTCTCTTGAACTGTATTATATGGCTTAAGTCAGTATGCACATGTGGGATCACCACAGGCAGTTTGTGATTGCTACTGTTTTTCATATTAGCGCGAGGCGGCGAATTGTTACAAACAGAACTAGGAAAGAGGTTGGTGTTCCGGCAGTTGGAGTTGTAAAAGCTATGTTCCACCGTATCAGAAACATTTTTTCCTCAGGCACATTACGACAAGAAGATGAAGAGCAGTTCAGAATGAAAACGATTCTACGAAACGATTACTCAGAAGGATGCATTGATATCCGTAGCGGGCATTCACTTAAAGATAACCCATATTCAACTGTACCACAAAAAAGCTGTCTATGTCAACCAATCACTCAAGGGCAATCAATGTTGAACGATGTACGCCATGGGTTTAAGTCAGTTCTGAACCGCACATTCCCAGCTGATCAACTTTACCTGGTGCCTGCCTTAGTTAACTAGATTTGGATAAACTTAATCACATGCAGTTGCGGTGACAAACACATAGACGCAGCAAACCGACAATTATCACAACGAAGGGCCGAACGAATTCCAATGGGGGTGACCTAAATCGACGACGCAAACCACATCCGATAGTCAGGCGGTCACAAGGATCCCAGTGCCATCGATGGCAAGACACGTCGTGACAATTTAAACATAATTTATCCCGCTTCCTCTTTCAAACCCTTATTTCGTAACGCAACGCAAAAATCTTGACAAGCAGTGAGGCGCCAAAAGGTTATTGAAGCAATCAGTTCACTTGTCGTGGAGTTGACTTCTTGTTTTTAATTTTAATAACTTCTGTACATGTTCGTTCGCCAGGATTTACCAACCCAATGTGTTAAATATGTTTCATGCAACCCGTTCCCTTTAACATTTTCACGAGAGTGAGAAGAAGTATCATGAGCACAGGATGTGTTGAATTCAACTATTTCGTGGTAATCTCATCAGCGGTGTACATACATTCAAATCACGTTTGGTTAAAAGAGTGACAGGTTTGGGGACAGGCGAAAACAAATGGGGGAGAGAAATCAATGAATACGAAGGCCAAATGTCACTAATATGAACCGGATTGGGTATATGAGCAAGGAGCAGAATCACTGTAGGGTGGGGGGGGGAGGACAGTGACACCTACCAGGGCAGTGAGAGGCTATCCACAAATTCGGTCTGTTTACATCAATCGGGTTTGTAACGTCGACTGGCAGCCGCTTCAGCAAACCGTGGTAGAGGGCTACCCTTCTGACAGATCAAGACACGAAAAGCGTCCCTAGGTTTGTCACATTCTTTGCTACCCAGTGTGTCGGAAGCTTGAACCCGTTGGACGCCAAATTCTTCGATACATACTCTGCTATCCCTGTAGACAATCGTACCTCTTTTCTTTCGACGTATTTTCTACTGCAATTACATTGAAATAGATAAACACAGGAGATAGCTGAAGAGTCGGGTTTGTATAGATTGGATTCAGTGAGCGTTCGTTTGGTGTCGTGCAGTATTACAAGAGAGGTAGCATGATGCATTCTTTCATTCTTAACTGAAATGTAAGCATATATGCCTACACAAGTTACAAATACAATACAATACAATCGCCTGTTTCAACCTACGCTGTATCCACTTAACATTTTGAGCGCATTTAAATGGTATGATGGCAAAACAGCTTTTTCGAGGCGATGCCATTCTGTTCTGGTTTATTCAACGGAGCTCCATAAGTTATAGTAAACTTTTAGGGCATGCAGTGAAAATAGAACTCTAATGTTTTGTTGTAGCAGATTATCTAAGCTCTAGAGAACAAACTGTGCACCAGCGAGCATTCGTATTGGATTGGACAGAAAATTTGTTGAACCCTAAAATAACGCCAGTTTCGTTCTTTCCGGTTCGAATTAGTGACATTTGGTCTTCGTATTCATTGATTTCTCTTCCCCATTTGTGTTCGCCTGTCCCCAAACCTGTCACTCTTTTAACCAAATGTGATCTGAATGTATGTACACCGCTGATGAGATTACCACGAAATAGTTGAATTCAACACATCCTGTGATCATGATGCCTCTTCTTGCTGTCCTGAAAAATGTTATACATGCGCCTGTTTCTTTTGAGTCAGCGTTGAGAAGAATAAATCAAATATTGGCACCTCGCCACGTGCGTTTTATTTCGGTCTATGGTCGGTCGTATGTTCGTATAAAGCAGATTAGCATATCAATTGAAGTCATATCAAGAACTGTCTTTGTCCGTTCATTCTGGAAAGAATTATCGGTGAAAAATCCTATTCGTTTCACGTTGGCGTATATAGGGAGCTGAGTGATACGACCACCATGGTGATAAAGAAAGAGAACGCCTAGCATAAGTAGAACGTGAAGCAGGAATTACATGAGATTGTGCCTCAACTCGTTTGATAGTCGTCCTCTGGAAACCAATAAATGGGGAAGATTAGGTACTACAGAATGATGAAAATCTGTGTTGCGATTTCAAAAAGGTTTGATTTATTACGGGTGACAGAAATGCAGATGGAGAAAGAGGGGGTCAGGTTTAGAGGATGTAATGCCGAAGATAGGATTGAGTCACACTGGCGGGCACATCATTTAAGGTGCTGTTTGACAATGGCGTCTACCAAAACCACATAAAAGACAGTTCCATATCGGTTGAGTAGTCAACCGAGATGTTGAGAACGGATGATCCGGAATGTGTAACTGGTCTGTGACGAAGGGAACACAAATTTCCCATGCAGTTGGTCGGGCCTGAGGCAAGATCCACACCGTCAGAACGTTCAATAATGGAACTTATGGTTGACTGATTGGTTTAATCAAACACCAAGTCGTCGGCATACTTAACTGAGAGAACAGATGGGCTGAGTGTAAAATTTTGAATGTCAAGAGTGAAGAGGAGCTGAAATTACGCACTGCAATAAATCTTGGTCTAAATACACCGTGGAAGACTTAATTTCAATAAGAGAGGTGAAATGGTGTCGGTCAGTAAAATTGTCACATCAAACTAATCAGATGTGGCGGGAGATTCTGTGGTCAATAGGGTATCTCTGTCGAGTTATAAGTCTTTTTATAGTTCAGAAAGCGAACATGAATAGTCTTGTGTTTTTGTCGTCTATCGCAGCGGATTATCGTACCAGTTTTCCCAATGCTCCAGAGCTTTCGGGGGAAAAAACTAAGGTATCGAATTATCCGATTCGCATCGAAAAGAACCACCAATGAAAAAATACTTTCGAAAATGCCCATACTCGTATTTAGAACTCAATTTTCATGGAACAACTGTTTTCAGTAGTTCATAATCATATTGTTACAAGTGATATGAGATGTGCTAAATACATACATCCATACTTTACGTCCAAGGGTTTTCTCTCAACCCTAAATTTAATCCCTACATATGGTAATGGCATGAATTACGTAAAACAATTGATCGCCCGAAATTGTATTCTCAAGATAAGGTAGTAGGTGAAAAGAACCATAGACTGTCAAGTTCAACAAGAGCGGAGCACGAGGCAGTCCGAAAATAACTATAGCGAAGTCCAAGGTGAATCACCTTCGGTTACTGTGGCCCAAAATTCACTCTTATTAGGCGCTTTCATAGGAATTGGTATCCAGTGGCGGGAAAGATTCAAGTTTCGGATAAGTTGCATTACTGCAGGTATGAAATGAAATCCTAAAAGCAAACCCATCGTATAATGGGCAGCATAACGACACACGTTAGATTAATGCGTTTTCAGCATTCAGTAACCCGACCCACTGATCAATTTTTCTGCGCATTAAGATAACGAATGGAGCATCATATTCTCGTTAAAACACTGCAATACATACCATAAACTACAGTAGCATGATTATTGTTACCTAAGATTCATCTTTTGGAGATATCCATCTGAAGTTCATTTCTCAATACCAATGAGAACCGTTAGGTATTTTTGGCTAGGCGGGAATATCGAAGTGCGCGAGTAAGAAAATATGAACATCGCTGACCGTTTCGGATTAAAACGGACGGGCTTTATTCCGCTGAAATCCCAAAATTGCTTTTACTGATGCGCCGCCCATGTCTAAGACGTTGCGTCATTTTATATCAACTGGGATAATAAGGGGACACTCTGGGCACGGGCATTTACTTGGATAACATAAATCGAGAAGCAAACACCTAACGGAAATAAATACACATCCACCATGACTTCGGGCATGTATCAACACGTCCAACGGCCGTCAACGAACGAACATTTGGTTTCTACGACTCTTGACAAAGACAGGCGTGCAGCAGGATGTAACAAGTGAGAGCTGTCACTTCATACAACAGATGATGTCCATCCATTAACATGTGTGAAAATGATAGAACTCGCTGAGGGAGACGACACCGTAGGCGGAGTGAAACGGACCGGTGAACCCATTGAGAACGAGCTGTGAAAACAGCTGTTCGAGTTACGGCGTGGGTGAGAAAAAAATCGACGAGCAACAAACGTCACCCGCCGATCGGACTTGACTCGGGCCTAGAACGCGATCAAACCATATGAACAGACAGCCTGGGACGCCATTGAGCAATCACAATGGGACGCATGATGTAGGGGTGATGTACAGACACACATACGAGACACAATGCGATAGAATGACGCGCGCGTGAGACCGGAAAGGCTGTATTGTGATTGGTTCACCGATCGAATCGAGGCCGCGTAAGTTGCGAGCATGGGGCAGAGAATATCCTATGAGCCAATCCGTGACCTCGGACGGATGGTTGGCTCAGCCAGTCTGTCAAACGCCTGGATGGACGAGGCGAAGAGATTGGTCATTGATTTGACCATATTTGGTCATCAGCCGGTTCGGTCTATGAATGGCGTAAACTGATTGGCATGAGACTGCCGGTAGGGGGTGGCCATATATGGCAAGACTGGACCTATATAATCCTTGATTTGAATTGTCGGGCACATCGATCTCTCTCACTTGGCCATCGCTCCACGCTCGAAATATGGGTGACGAGGACGTTGCTGCTTTAGTAATTGACAATGGTTCTGGAATGTGCAAAGCTGGTTTCGCCGGGGACGATGCGCCTCGTGCTGTGTTCCCGTCAATTGTTGGCCGGCCACGACACCAGGGTGTTATGGTTGGTATGGGCCAGAAGGACAGCTACGTCGGTGATGAGGCTCAATCAAAACGTGGTATCTTGACTCTGAAATATCCCATTGAACACGGTATTGTGACCAACTGGGATGACATGGAGAAAATTTGGCACCACACATTCTATAACGAGTTGCGAGTTGCTCCCGAGGAACACCCGGTTTTGCTAACCGAAGCCCCACTTAACCCCAAAGCTAATCGTGAGAAGATGACTCAAATCATGTTCGAGACCTTCAACGCTCCGGCAATGTACGTGGCTATACAAGCTGTGTTGTCTCTTTACGCATCCGGTCGCACGACTGGTATTGTGTTGGATTCCGGTGATGGTGTTACACACACTGTACCTATCTACGAGGGCTATGCTCTGCCGCACGCCATCTTGCGTCTGGATCTTGCTGGTCGTGACTTGACCGATCACTTGATGAAGATACTCACCGAGCGTGGTTACAGCTTCACCACCACTGCTGAACGTGAGATTGTGCGAGATATCAAGGAAAAACTGTGTTACGTCGCCCTGGACTTCGAGCAGGAGATGGGCACGGCGTCCGCCAGCTCATCTCTGGAAAAGAGCTATGAACTTCCTGATGGTCAGGTGATCACCATTGGCAACGAGCGCTTCCGTTGCCCAGAGGCCCTGTTCCAGCCTAGCTTCCTCGGTATGGAGTCAGCGGGTATTCACGAGACGACCTATAACTCAATCATGAAATGTGACGTCGATATTCGCAAAGACCTGTATGCCAATACTGTTCTTTCCGGTGGGTCCACCATGTATCCGGGCATTGCTGATCGTATGCAAAAGGAGATAACTGCTCTTGCACCCAGCACCATGAAGATCAAGATTGTTGCCCCTCCGGAGCGAAAGTACTCTGTCTGGATTGGTGGTTCCATTCTCGCTTCTCTCTCCACATTCCAGCAAATGTGGATCTCGAAGCAGGAGTACGATGAATCTGGCCCGGGCATTGTGCACCGCAAATGCTTCTAGATTGTTATTTCATTTCGTTCTTTGTATCTAATACAATTATCTGCAAAATCCGAGTTTTTTATTTGGGGTATGTAGGTGGCTCGGGTGATCGTTGAAGTGGCCTGCGTTGCGTAAGAGTGACCCTTGGGGTGCGCGGAGTCCGTCGTTTGGGTATGGGTATGGGTGTTCGCCTCGTGGTGGATGGGTTCCGGCATGCGGTTTGGCGTGCTATCGGGTTAATCAGGACCGGAAGCTTCCCATTTTCAAAGTTGATGGTGGGCAACTGTAGAGAACAGTCTCCCTTGGTGCGTCCGTGAGCTCTGTTATTTCCGGCCGCTATCGATCTGTGATGGGATGAGTAGCCTGGTGCTGTTCGCTGAGCACTTATGGGTTAACTACGGTCGGGCAGAGTTGGATGTTCTTTATTCTAAGATCGTGTAAAGCCGTGATTGGGGATCTGAGGCTACTATGCTTGGGTTTTTTGTACGGGTCTGACTGAGTTATCCGTGTTAGGTCTGCTCACAAATGACCGTTCTACCTATTCTGGGTGTTAAAGTTGTAAGTCTTTGTCAGCTTAAAGTTCTATTCACTACTGGGCCATGTTGGCCGTCGGAAGCGTCGTCTCTCGACCGAGTTACGTTTCATAGCAAGTGGTTATGAGGTATGAGTCCATGGTGCCCGTTCAAGAAGCAGGCGATTACCAAATGGAAAAAATAGTGCGAGGTTTAAATAGAAAGGGTTTATTCGATTTCATAGTCAGATGTGGCGCCGACAACTTGTGACATGGGGTTTCGGATCCATAATATTGAAGGCGCATGTGGTACCACTGCCTATCGGCTCGTCCTGTGTTTGTTCAGGTGTCGTCTTAAATCGTAAGTCGGTTGACTTTTATTCCGACAGCAGCCGGTTACTTGTCAACCAAATCAGGTATATCTTGCAGATTCGGGCTGACTTCTCGTAAGCCTACTACGCTGAATTTCCACTTCCTGGTTAATCGTAAATTGTAGTGGATACAGTACTGCTGAGCTTCAATCAGATTTCTTGTTGATGCTCGTCAACAATGTGTGCATTCTCATGTCCTTGCGTTCTTATTGTAGGCTGTTTTCGGCCCAAAAGGCCAATTGATCCACCACAGCAATAACACCCGGTTATAGAAATGTGCAAAAGGGAAGCTTTTATCGCGGTTAATGACCTTATCTAATTGGTCAATTTTTCTACCCGATTGTGCGTTATCCGCGCACACATCGTTGACTTCCTATTGGTGATCAATTTTCTCTGACTCTCTCCCTCTTCGTCATTTTGTCTTGGCATATCACATTCCTGTCTTGTATCGCTTGCTTTTCATACTTCTGACTATGCCTCCTGGCTCTCCGAGGCTGCCGATTGGTTTAGTTTTCGTGTTATTTACAGACAGTAGACCTGGCATGAGCGTGCATTTTCTTTCAACCCAAATATCTCGACCACGTAGATTATTTTCCTCTCTCCTTCCTTCAGTTCCAGGCCTGGTCACGCACGACACGCGAATGATGGAAATCGAGTTCGTTCACATGCCAGCTTTTCGCTCAAGCGCATCACGAAAAACAGTGTCTGCCAGGTTTACTTCCGTTCCACGTTTATCTACCACATTACGTGAGTTCATGAGAATTGGTGCGGTTGTGTGACCAAACTAATTTTCCGGTCCTGTGACGAGGTCGGACGGTGCTAGGAACGGACCGCGATGCATACAACCACCTGGAGAACACAAATTCCGAGGGATCTCAGGTACAACTAAGTCGAGGAATTGACTCTATGTTGAAAGGCAAATCTGCACCAGGTCTGTCAGAGAGGAATGAGAAAAATCGTCATTCCGACTAGTACTACTACCGTTGGTGCGAAACGGTCATACCAAAACAGATGAACATACGGGTCCGCTGAATATATTGCACTCCGGATATTGGCTTTCCTTTCTCTCAATTTTGTGGGAAAAATACCTTCACCACGGGAAGGCAGTGAGTAGGGCTTCTTCAGTAGAGGCTAACTGAGACGCTTGGTCGTATAGGAGCAGGGGAAGGCTGGTCAACCACAATTCGAGACACCCTCCACCGAACATAATGCGGCTTTCGGAGGCTGATGGATTTATTACATTACATTCGAGTGTATCTGAAACCAGGAAGCTTACGTCAACAAATGTGTACTACCAGCTCATGTAGCTTTCGAAATGATCAAACCTCCACGAAGTTGACCTTCACATATACATAAAGGAGTGAAATGTAGCCGAAAAACCTACATCAGGATAATGTTGAACTCGATGGAATCTAATCTATAAACATCGCAGAGAACGGGAACCAACGCTTCCTGCAAACCCTGTTTACTGACACGCTTATCAATCTCACATGACACATGGTGGATGGCGATCACTCCGGAGCATGTTTCACTGTCGATCCGTAGCCACTAAAAAATGGTGTGTAGAACGGTATGATTTCTATTATTTGATTGTTTCAATCAAAAAGTTGGTTTGAGAAACGGGAGCGCATTCGCTAGGTCACTCTTGGAGGGATCATTTATGATCGGGGGCGGTGGTAGCCCAGTGGTCACGTCACTACGTTATCACTCCGGAGGACGTGCTCGAATCCCATCACAACCACAGCCTGGTTTTCCCCAATTCCTCGTTCATGAACATTGCATCAATATATGTTCAATAAAAAAAAGTAGGAATGAAAAAAGAACAAGTAGTATGCACACAGAGTCATATCGATGATCGCGAGTACGTTTCTTCAAGTTGACTAGAATCTATCAAAGCTCACACAATCCAGAATATTATACATGGCAATGTGATATCAACATTATTGGCACAGTGGTATTGGTAATGATTATAATCATGCAATTCGGAACACTGAGAAAAAAAGGAAAATCCATACACCGGTATCTACTCACTCACACTGAATAGCTCCTATTGCATTAGTTGTGATCGAACTCGTTAGCCACCAATTGACTTTCGGTCAGCGTGATGCTGCCCTATTTATAGTTATTATTGCCGTGGTTACTTAACTGCGCACAGGTAGTACCATGGTTGAAATCCGTCGGCTATCTTCATCACGAGAGTTGTCACATATTCGTATGAGAAACAAAAAAAAAACCCTGCTCTCTTTTGTGGAACCGAAACAGAGATCAGGTATGCAACACGAGTACACTAAATTTCATGTGTTCAGTTCAAAATAGTGTCCTGATCCGCCAGGAAGGTAGCCCTCTACTACGGTTTATTGAAGCGGCTGCCCCTATACCCAAACCGGTTCGAATTAGTGACCTTTGGTCTTCGTATTCACTGATTTCTCTTCCCCATTTGTTTTCGCCTGTCCCCAAACCTGTCACTCTTTTAACCAAATGTGATTTGAATGTATGTACACAGCTGATGAGATTACCACGAAATAGTTGAATTCAACACATCCTGTGCTCATGATACTTCTTCTCACTCTCGTGAAAATGTTAAAGGGAACGGGTTGCCTTTATATGCTCCAGGTGACGGAGGACTGATTTATTATTATTATTGCTCAAACAAAGAGTTTCTGTGTATGTGATTCATCCAACTGTCATTGTACACACCTAAAAAAAACGCACTGAGTCAACGGGGACAAGTTGGACCTGACTATGGAAGAATCGTGTGCACCCCGTGGGAACTTCTCCGTTCTTCGTCCCAACACTAGGCCTGCCCCTATCCCTCCCCCCTCGGCGACACAATTTTGGCCCAGTCAACAAATACATGCTCTTTGTTGAAAATTGAGTTATTTGTTTGCTCATGACAAACTCCGACTAGATGGAAAAACATCTGAGATATTCTTTATGACACATCAACCTTTAATGAACAACAGGACGGATGAATAGTATTGCCAGAGGGACCCACTGTTCCTCCGCGGGAATCGGTTATCCGAGACTTGGAACAGAGAGAAAGTCAACCAAGGCCCACATAGTGCAGAAATGATATTGAACCAAATGATAACGAAGCTGACTATCGCCGAAATGCGGATTCGGACTTTGAATCTTTGCAAATCGATGCATGCGACTGCCAATCATTTATTTTATGTACAGGATTTATGAGGCTCCAGAAATTAACAATTCGTTTAATCTTCTCAATCGATGACGTAAAACAAACAAGCACATTGGATTTATAAATCCTAGTGAACATGGGACAACTCCACGGCAAGTGAACTGATTGGATCAATAACTTTTGAGCGCACAGAATAGGATTATATAATCTGATTAGCAACGCCTCACTTATTGCCAACAGTTTTGTATTGCAATTATGTAACAACGGTTTGAAAGAGGAAGCGGGATCAACTATGTGTTTGGTAGTCCTGAGGTGTTTTGCAATTGATGACCCCGAGTTACGTGTGCCCGTCTGATTACTGGGCGTACGTTGCGTCATCGACTTCATCACCCACTTTGGAATGTATTCGGCCATCCGTTGTGATAATTGACGGTTGGTTCTGTCTAGGTATGCGTCACCGCAACTGCAGGTGAACTGTTACACAGTGTGTGAGACAGAACTGGATTGGCAACCATGTACACGTTTGTCCAAATCGATTCCGCGAGTAGAGGCAATAAGTCGAAATTGAGCAGCTGGGAATGTGCGGTTGAGAGCAGACTTTAACTTTTGGCGCACATCGTTCAGACCGTGATCACCCGTCAAAGATAGTTTGATATAAACGGCTTTCTGAGGAACAGTTGGCGATGAATTACCTTTTTGAGATTGTTTACTATGAATATCAATGAATCTTTCGGGGTAACCATCTCGTAGCAACACTTTCTTGAGGAATTCATCTTCGAAGAAGGCCGGTGGTGTTGTGCAAGATGTCTGCTGCAGCGACATCTCTTTCGCATATCATCAGTTACTTCATGCGAATTACAAATGGACATTATAAATGTTTATGGTGTATGGTGACAAATAGATTCAAAGGTGAGATCCATACAACTTGTGTACCTCATCCTTGGGACTTTCGTTCCCCTCTCCCTGCCTCATTCACTCAAACCATCCACCCACCCTCACC